GTTTTGACATATAAATTATTCATTTGATGGGAAATATCCATAAAATGAATTGGTTTTATGACGTATGATTTTAATTCAAAATGATCTTTGGATATTTTTCGTCAAAGACAAATGTTTTACACATATGCATTACATTGTGTTGTGGGAGTCTGTGTGGACTCAGAATAGGATGCATCAGTGAGTCTCATCTCATTTCATGGCATGATATCATGATTTTCAACATTGAATTATATGTTATTGTTGGAATGGATTAATTGTTGTGACTTGTTGCAGTAGTCATTGCATATGCATTTTAGGAGGGGAGTAGCCTCTGAAGGAAATATTCTCTTGGGCGTTAACTCACCCTATACGGGAAATATTTCAGGTGCGAGATTTGTATCGACGGAGGACTCTCATTCGGAGCTTCGAAGATGAAGAAAAGCCGGTTGTGGCTTTTGAATGAAGTCTTTTGTAAAACTAGTTTTTGACATGTGAATTTATGTAAATAAATTGTAATGGATTCGTATGAATGGGAATGTATGATGAAAATCTTGTTATACATGTTTTGGATTAATATGAGGTGTTTTTAAATGAATTGGAAATCAAAAATGGGTGAATTGGACAAAACTGGGCAGAGTGTACTAGTACGGTGTACCGGTACACTCCCTTCAAACTTTGAAAATTTTTTTATTTCTTTGTTATGCCTTTGGACTTTGATTTCCTTAGTTCCAATGATACAAATGAATATTAAATGAGGTATATTTGTTCTCTTTAAATTACATGAATAAAGATACACAGGTAACAAGTGTGAGTTAAAATCCCGGTTAATGAGATATTATTGGTGAGATGTCGGATCAAACAACACTCACGGACATGCCGCGGGTTGATGGAGGATCAACGGGACCCCCGATTTTAGAGGCGTCACACATACACACACGGCGCACACACATATTTTTAATGAAATCTAATTTATTGTATTTTTTCAATATTATTTGATTATTTATTAGCTATTGTTCTTTTTTTTCAGATATTATTGTTCACTTATTATGTTATTCAATTTGTTATTGTTCGCTTATTGTGTTATTCAGATGTTATTTATTTATTTATTTTGATCAAATATTTGTTAAATGTAGACTACAATATAATAATAGTGATTATGATTTATGTTATAACATATTTTATAAATATTTTCAAATTAAAGAGTGGAAAAGTAAAATTGAAAATTAATTTATTTTCAGACGTCGGCTCTATATAGTTATCAAACAGTTTAGTTCAATTCAGTATTTAAATTTCAGTGAATACGAAACAATCTACAAATTCAACATTCAACTTTCAGTTTTATCAAACACCACCTAAATCTAATACACCCGATCAAAGTAAAATTCCTATATTAAATGTACGTTGTCTAGTGAATATGAAATACCCATTATTTTCAACGATATGTTTCCAAAAATATTGAAGAGAAATCTTTGAATTATGATACCAACTTTTATCGTAAATAAAAGATGGAAAAAAAACCCAATGATAATTCATTTTGGAAATAAGGATGGAGTTGTTCAGAACTTGTGCAAGATTAAAAAGGTCTTGCACAACCCAATAACTTTGAACAATGCCACAAATCTGCTCTTTTACTTACAATATTTTGGTCTCTAGTTTAAGGCAAAATAGGAGTTTACTATAACTTCTAGCTAATTTTTCATCCAAACAAGAAGCTAATCACAAGCATTGGGTTGTGCAAATTCATATAAAATAAATTGGTACCTATAAAACGACCATAAACTTTATAATAAAAATTAGGGCACAAGTTCAAGAACCTTAAAATAAATCCATTATCTCCACGTAAAACTCCTTGCCAAATCTATCTAAACATTTAGAAAAGAACATTAAAAAATAACAATAAATTCACTCAAACGCACACACATTTTGTTTACGAATTTCTTCGTCTTCCTCAGGAGTAAAGTCATTCTTGATATTGAATGTTTTGTGAATCTCCTCCGGTGACTTACCGAAGTGGTGATCATGTTGGCAACTTTTTCACACAAAATATTCAGTAATTCCTTCATCGCGAGAAAGTTTGCAGCTGTGAAACAATCATAAGAACCGCTTGATCTTATGAATTAGAAATGATGGATTACGGACGAAATTAATTAATTTTGCACCAAAAAGGTGACTTTGTTTCTGTCGAAGTGACCCACCGAAGTGGTGAGCAAAAGGCAATTCCAGAGAGAACCGTATTGGCATGACCCATCCCATATGAAATGGTTGAGACCAAAAAAGTGAGTCTCAGAGCTGTTGGATCAAAAAAGTCAACTTCAATCCTCGTGTCATCCACAGAGTAAAAGTGTATCACTCAAATTAATTATTCCAACTTGCAATTTGAAAACATCAAGACAAGTCAATAAAATTTGGACAAGTTGATTGTCTACTTATAACTGTGTAGCCTGTAATTGTTGAACAACTGTTGTGCATGCACTAAATATATGATAAGAAATACCTGTAATTGTGACTAGATTAATAATTTAGATTATATTAGCTTAATGCGAAAAATAAAACAATCACCAATTAATATTTTGACAAATACGCTCATAGACAAGACAACAACTAACGTATTAAACCAAATTTGCATAGAGATGCCATGTAAGTGTCCATTAGCCAAAAGAATTTCATTCAATGGTTCATTTTGCATAATAAACACTACATCTATAGTGAATAAATACTAAAAAGTCTAAAGTTCCAAGGAGAATAGGTGGTTGCAAATTTACCAAATTCAAGGTTTGAAATGCTAAAGCTTCCTAAAGTTCCACCGGTCCACCTCTTCTTATCATTTGTGAATTACGCCGTAGCAAATCAACTGCCAAATTACCTAAACTGTAATTGTTGCTAGAGCATAATAAAATTAAAGAAATTCTCAATTTGTATGTGTCATGATAAAAAAACCCTAAAACCCAAGAGAAAAACATTTAAAGTAACAAGAAGTTCATTCCTCAATTCAAAAGGAACCTACATTTGCCACTGTTCCTTGGACAAATGGGGATATCAATTCAACATATCTGTGGACATAAGCAAAGTATTTCAAATCGCACCTACATTTGCCATTATACTTCTACTCATCCTGGAGATTCATCGTGTATCTCAATTAATAATGAGATCTGTTTCTATGGAAAATCTCATCGGGGTTTAAACCTTTTACCCCTTGGATAATCAGAGTGACTGGGATAATTGCTAAAATTATAAATTCCAAATGAAATCAAGAAATTATTGAGATTTTGCTTATGGAACTTTGAAATTTTTAATTTAGGTTTGTTTTGACCATGTGTTTTGTTCTTTGGTTTGCAGTTTTTAGGGGGTTTTAGTGTAAACTTTGCTTGATTGTGCTATTTGGTTCATGAAGCGTATATTCTGGGTTGCTTGAAGAGAGCAGGTGGTGATACTTATATCCAAGGTTAGTCTGTTGAGGTGGTAATTCAACATCATTACTCTAGATTGTTCTCAACAGGGGTTTCCACTCTGGATCGAATCAGATCTTCCCTGTGCTCAAACAGGTAAATCCAATTCTTCTTATGCTCTTGTCCCCCAACCCTTTTAGCTGTGTGTGTGTGTGTGTATGTTTATGCAGAGCTTACATTCAACTTTCTTCAATATGAAAGTTAATTTTTTCATTAGCTATTGCACCTATTAGAGGTTTTAAGGTTTTTTCAATGTCAANGTCTAAAGTTCCAAGGAGAATAGGTGGTTGCAAATTTACCAAATTCAAGGTTTGAAATGCTAAAGCTTCCTAAAGTTCCACCGGTCCACCTCTTCTTATCATTTGTGAATTACGCCGTAGCAAATCAACTGCCAAATTACCTAAACTGTAATTGTTGCTAGAGCATAATAAAATTAAAGAAATTCTCAATTTGTATGTGTCATGATAAAAAAACCCTAAAACCCAAGAGAAAAACATTTAAAGTAACAAGAAGTTCATTCCTCAATTCAAAAGGAACCTACATTTGCCACTGTTCCTTGGACAAATGGGGATATCAATTCAACATATCTGTGGACATAAGCAAAGTATTTCAAATCGCACCTACATTTGCCATTATACTTCTACTCATCCTGGAGATTCATCGTGTATCTCAATTAATAATGAGATCTGTTTCTATGGAAAATCTCATCGGGGTTTAAACCTTTTACCCCTTGGATAATCAGAGTGACTGGGATAATTGCTAAAATTATAAATTCCAAATGAAATCAAGAAATTATTGAGATTTTGCTTATGGAACTTTGAAATTTTTAATTTAGGTTTGTTTTGACCATGTGTTTTGTTCTTTGGTTTGCAGTTTTTAGGGGGTTTTAGTGTAAACTTTGCTTGATTGTGCTATTTGGTTCATGAAGCGTATATTCTGGGTTGCTTGAAGAGAGCAGGTGGTGATACTTATATCCAAGGTTAGTCTGTTGAGGTGGTAATTCAACATCATTACTCTAGATTGTTCTCAACAGGGGTTTCCACTCTGGATCGAATCAGATCTTCCCTGTGCTCAAACAGGTAAATCCAATTCTTCTTATGCTCTTGTCCCCCAACCCTTTTAGCTGTGTGTGTGTGTGTGTATGTTTATGCAGAGCTTACATTCAACTTTCTTCAATATGAAAGTTAATTTTTTCATTAGCTATTGCACCTATTAGAGGTTTTAAGGTTTTTTCAATGTCAAAGTGGAATTATTATCCGTAGTTTTGGTTTTTTGTGGGTTTTTCCTTTTTTTTTTTCTTTTGTTAACTGATATAAAAATTGTTGGGTAATCTCAAATTTGCTGAAATTGAATTGTGGAATGCTCCCTGAATTTGATTATCAATTAATTTTGGAATTTTGAAATTTCCTCAAGAATGATGTGGATAATGGCATATTTCAGTTGAATTCTTTAAATTTTCATAAACTTAACTGAAGATAACAATAACTATTTTGTGTTCCTTTGTATTTACACTAAAATGTCACCTCTTCTTATTAGAACTAAGTCTGGTTCGTTGAACTTCGATTCAAATGTTCTATGGCTGAAAGCGTCATGGGAATGTCCCAAGCTGATATGGGAGCTCTAAAAGAAGCTCTTTGTGCTCAACGACATCTTCTGCAAAAACTTTACAACGAATTGGATGTGGAAAGAGAAGCTTCAGCCACTGCAGCTAGTGAAGCTTTGTCCACGATATTACGTCTACAAGGAGAAAAGGTTGTGGTTAAGTTGGAGGTAGAGCAGTATAAGAGATTAGCCGAGGAAAAGATGTGTCACGCAGAGGAATCGTTGGCAATTTTCGAAGACCTTAACTATCAGAAAGAAATGAAGATTGTTGCTCTAGATTACCAAGTTCAAGCTTATCGGTACAAACTTTTGAGCATGGATTGCAGTGATCTTGGAGTTGACGAGATAAACTTTCCTGAGAATCTGCTGCAAAGAAATGAAAATTTAGTCAAGGAAATTAGTGTTCAAAACATTTCCAGGAGAAGTTATGTGCCCCCAATTCCTCTTAAATACTCAAATCAAAAGAAGTGTAATTGAAAAAGAAAGATCTATAAGTCCAAAGACAGATTTTGATGAAAATAAAGCGGAAGAACAGACAGGACAAGAAATAAAAGGTCAGACTTTGGAATTAGAGAAGAAGCCTGAGAATTCTGTTGTTGGACAAATCATTTTGTACTGGGAACATATTAGAAATTTAGATGAAAGAGTGAAAGAGATAGCAGGAGTTAACTATGCGAGTTCTAAGAATGGTTCGAGATCTTCTTCAATATGTTCACAAGTGAGCATTGGAATGGCATATGATGCAACAAAAGAATTTATAAGAAGGGAGTTGGATCAGGCTAAACATGCTCATTGTGTAATGGAAACAAATGCAAATTCTGCTTCTTCCTCAAGTATCCATGATGTCTTTGAAGTTCCACAAATCCATGAGAATCATAGAGGTCATGTACGCCAGACAAAAGAACGGTGTGAGGAAGTTTTGGAAGGTGATGAGAGAATTGAAAAACTTGACATTGTTATGTCATAGGCTGGTAAATCTTGTGTTAAAGATGAAACTGACTGGATAAAGAAAATGTTGTTGTCCTTGAACCGGGCTAATAGTAAATGTACACCTAGTGATGGTGTTGTTATTTTTTCTCTCATTGCATTTTGGAAAATCTTTAATTTCATATTATCAAATAAATGGATTGTGGCCAAGGTGGTCTGTTAAATGATATCATAACTTAAACATCACGAAATTTTACAAAGTAATCGATATCATCAATAGATTTATGCTACTGCTGCTACTTATTTTGTGAACTTGTGGAGTTATATTGGTTTAAATTTTGCAATCCTTTTAGGTGATTTTTCGGTTCTTTGTTAATAAATCAAAAAAGCAACATAAAACTACAAAGCTTCACCTTTTTCAAAAGAATACTACAACTTTGTAGCCAACCAAAGTTTTTTGGCAGCTAATGTTTCATTCTACTAATGAGAAAAAAAGAGAATTTAGGATATACAATACAAAATATTAGCAAGGTTTTAAAGTCTAAAGATGGATAACCTTCTTTTGCAACTCAATCAATATGCTTTGTATATGATATCTGAATATGACATTCACTCGAGAACAACTTCTAGTTTATTTGGTTTGACAAAAATATGACTTTACTATCATATGTTTTTGCAGGAGACATAGTAGCATAACAAGGATTCATCAGTAGACATACTTGTGTGGTTGCATTAGAGTTCAACTTAGAAACGAGAATTCTCAAGCTTGTAATTATATCTTAGTAGACACAAGTGGAATATCAATTCAACAAAAGCTACAATATATCAATAAATAAGTATTTCATTTCAAATCTTCTAACTAACTATTAAGGGGGCATATGATAAATTGGAATTGCATTTCTAAATACTCAGAAAAAAAAACATAACATTTAAAAAAAAAAGCATGATTAGAAGGCAAATTCATAAAAGCAGACATTAAGAGATTGGACAATAGATGTCAGAGAGAAGAACAAGACCAAATTGTTTCCAAAACCTCACCCAACCAAATGAAACTGTCTGGATAAAGAAAATGGGGTTGTTCTTTGCTACAACTTTAAAATTGATTACCCAAGTATAGGTTGTGCGAAATAATATAATATTCGGAAATCCGAGATTGAATCATAGGGAATTGTGAAAACTTATAACACAAATAAAAATAAAAGAAAATTATTTTGAAAAAAATTGTTGTAGAGATTTTTTTAATTAAAAAACAATAAATTTGGTTTTAAAACAATAATTGAAAATACTAAAACATCGAATACTCCCTCTCAAATTCATACAATAATGATTAAAAATTTAGTTCTTAAACCTAGACAAAAATCAAATATCGGTTGATTCAAGTCACCGAATTTAGTAATAAAACCAAGAAAACACCTTTGTTTATAATCAAAAGTTTATTCAGGAACCTGAGTAATCTTACAATTATATTATTCTGTGAAATAATTGTAATCAACTTAAGCATGGAATAATCAGTTATTTGACTGACAGAGAAATTCAAACAATCAATGTACATGAAACAATGACTCAAGAATTTTTACAAAGTAAAAATTTTGCTAAAAAATTAAAAGTTGAATTAACAAAATATCACATAACATTAAGCTCATAAGTCAATAATATTATCGTGCTTCATTGAGAGGTCCTCCCCTAGCCATAGTTGGAGTTTTATCAAGCCATAGAAATAGAACAAAAACTAAAAAAGAAAAGATGTGAAAAAAATAATTCTAATTATCCAAATCCTCCTCTCTCAATAAGTGAGAGGTCTTATTTATACTAAAATATAACCTAGGTATAACTAGAGTTGGTTTGGGAAGAATTATTTTTCAAAAAGAATTTTTTTAAGGTTAAATCTCATACATAAAATCTTGAGAGCCACGGGTACAAAATCTATCTAGACTTCAAGCTTGACTTTCGCCTATTTAGAGCCTGAATCACGAAATTTTTGTGAAATACACTTTTATAGCCCTTGAAGTCTTCTTTCCAAACCCATAAACATCAGGTTAATCGGATATCGAAGTCAAAGTTATGACTAAAATACTGAAGATGTGTCAAATCCTTATCTTCTAGGATACTTTCCAAATCCAACTTTAAATGAGTTTTCTTCTAATTTGGACTCTTACAAGGATTAAATTACTGTCATATTTTTAAATTTTCGTATCTTAATCTTGAATTTTCAATCCTTATCAATTGTGATTATTCATTTAGTGATTGTTTCACTTGTCTTATCCATTATTACTTTAAATCAACCAATTTATCGGCAAAATAAATCAAACAAATAGAAAAAGTATCAAAATAGAAAATCAAGGAATTTAATACATTTAATTACAAATAATATACAATTAACCAATTATTAGACATAATAAAATAATACTTTTGGTGGTTAATCATCCTTGCACCAGGATGATAGGATAAATAGACTTAGTGATGGTGTTGTTGTTTTTTCTCTCCTTACATTTTGAAAAATCTTTAATTTCATATTGTCGAATAAATGGATTGTGGCTAACGTGGTCTATTAAAGGAAATCATAAATTAAATATCACCAAATTTTACAAAGTAATCGAGATCATCAATAGATTTATGCTACTGCTGGTGCTTATTTTGTGAACTAGTGAAGTTATATTGGTTTAAATTCTATAATATTTTTAGTTTATTTTTTGGTTCTTTGCTAATAGATCAAAAAAGAAATATAAAACTACAATACTTCACCTTTTCTAAAAGAATATTCTAACTTTGTAGCCAACCAAAGTTTTTTTGTTGCTAATGTTTCATTCTGCTAATGAGAAAAAACCTTAAAATAAGAATAGATAATTTAGGATATATAATACAAAATATTAGCAAGGTTTTAAAGTTTAAAGATGGATAACCTTCTTGTGCAACTCAATCAATATGTTTTGTATGTGATATCTGAATATGGCATTCACTCGAGAACTGCCTCTAGTTTATTTGGTTTAACAAAAACATGACTTTAATATCATATGTTTTTGCAGAAGACATAGTAGCATAACAATGATACATCAATAGACATACCTGTGTGGTTGCATTAGAATTCACCTTAGAAACAATAATTCTCGAGCTTGTAATTATATCTTAGTAGACACGGGTAGAATATCAATTCAACAAAAGCTACGATATATCAATAAATAAGTATTTCATTTCAAATCTTCTAACTAACTATTAAGGGTGCATATGACAAATTGGAATTGCATTTCAAAATACTCAAATAAATAAATAACATTTTAAAAAAAGGCATTAGTAGAAGGCAAATTCATAAAAGCAGGCATTAAGAGATTGGACAATAGATGTTAGGGAGAAGAACAAGAACAGATTGTTTCCAAACCTTACCCAACCAAATGAAAATGGGAGATTGTTTCCAGTTCCTAATGGTATTGTAGCAATTGGTGGTGGCTAAGATAGTTTAAGATCAGAAACTACACCAAGAAGCCAGCTTGCTGTTCCATCTCAACCGGCAACCTAGCCAACCAGATATGGATTAGATGTAAACGACAAGATAACATCATTACCACACAATTGAACTACTGAGTTAACTCACTATGATTCTCAATCTCCTCTGAATTTCAGAGGACAAGCTATCCTTAGTTTGCTTGTGCTTTTCCAAATTATAATAAAGTTGACACAACACCCTGTCAGGAGTTTTTTTCCCCCAAATCAAATACCTAAAGAATCAAGCAACCAAAGATTGAGCCCATGAAGAAGCAAATGCCTTCATTATTAAAACTAACTATCAAAAAATCATAATAAATAAATAAATAAAATAAAAATAGCTATGACCGTGCAGTATGAGAAAAAAGCTATTTTTTTATTAAGGAGAGCACGATATGTTATGAGAAGTTCTCCTCCCAGCTGGCCACCACTTTTGGAATTGATGAATACTATCACTGCACAAGCGGGCACATGGGACTCTTGTCTTGATGCTGATTAAGTAGAAGTATGCAATCAGGAATGTAGTAGTCCTTCAAATGTTATTTGATTTAGAATCACAAGCCGCTACTTCTTGACTGCAAAATTGTGTCAAACACAACCATTAAGTTTGGAAATTTTGCTACCTGTAATAGAATTCTAAACTCATCCTACCCAATTAAGTGGCAAAACTACCAATTGTTTCCATTGCATGATACAAGTAGCATTTTGTATTTCATAGCACACTAAATCTTGCGTCTTAACATTTTTCATCAAAAAAACATGTGTGTATCAAAAAAAAGATATAAAGCAACAAATGCAAGTCCAACTAATGTGATCAAGAATTTATTAATAAAAAGTTTTCAGATTCCCGCCTTCTAGTGAAAAAATTCCGAAAGGAAAGCTTTAGATCCTTCGCCTGGATCTTTACCTATGTTAATGGCACTTGAAAATTGAATTTAGAGAGAGTCAGTAATACCCCCAACCCCTCCTAGGCCTCCCCACTCCCCTACCTTGTGAAATAAGCTGCCATGACTCACTTTTCTTCACTATCGCTACAATGTTTGAAGCATTGGTTTAATGTGGACGACAAAACTCTTGTCTCATGGAGTCAAGAGCATCCCAAAGAGTTATTAGATTCCCTTTTTCAAGGACTATGTTGTTCATTTATCTATTCTACTGCATATAAAACCTCTTAAATTGGTTGAATATTAAAACATTATCATCACCATAAGGCAACAAATATAGACTTGGAAATGATCCCTCCTAGACTAAGAAGCTTACAACAATGGTTGAGCAAAACAAACTACTAAGGTATACAAGTCTTTGACTAAAGCAATGACTCATCCTCTTTGAAAAAAAAGGAACATACAATATAAAATTATTGGAACCACACATGTGAAACTCATATAATCTTAACGGTAATACTATTGGGACCTAAAAATATGACATAATATATTGACTTAATAATGTTCATTAAATTAATATCAAGTTTTGATGTTTGATGGGGTGTACAATCAATCCAAAGGCTATAATAAAATTAAGTTCGAATAACATTTCTCTATTCTCAATTCTCACCCCCCCCCC